ATAACACCCTAATGAAGCCTTTGTTAAACCATTGTAAGTATAAACTCCTCAGAAAGCCTTAGAAAGATCCTGTAGCACCCCTTACGCGCCTTACACATGAAGCCTGCATGAAGCTGACAAATACATGATCTAGAGCCACGAAAGCCTAAAGCACATATAGACCCCAAAACCCTAAACCCTAAACTCTAAATCTCCAAACCCGATAACCCTGCTCATGCGAAGAACTGAGGCACGATCTCCACGAGCTCCATGTGGCCTCGGGCATCCGTCGATACCACACCGTGCCTCAAAGTAGTTTGAAGGGGTTTATAGAGTGCTACTCGTTGTGCCTTTGTTGATTTTTTCTTGCGTCTGCGTGGCTTAAGATTTACGGTTTCGTTGGTTTTTGCTTGTGCTTTGCTGTCTTGGCGACGCCAGGATTTGCGCATAGCGTGTTTGTCTGCTTCTGGGCAAATTTCGATTTGGTGCCTCGGTTGCTTTGCTTCTGAAGTTGAATAGTGTGAAGAAAGAAGATCCAATCTTCCTGGGTTCCTTCGATACTATAAGATACCTCACAAACCCTATTCTAACTATCAAGGACCGTAGGTCCCCAAACCCTGGAAGGAACCCTCCAAGGAACCTTCCTCTAATTATTCGGGCCCCTAAACTTGGGAACCGAACCGAGGGTGGAGCTCACACCGGCAGCGGGGACTTTGCAGATTCTTTGGCCGAGAACAAGCAGGCGCAGAACGAGCAACACAAAACACTTCAGTCACCCCTTCTGGCATTGAACATGGCTTTGCAAGTTCTTGTAGGTGTTCATGAGGCTGCCCTAAACCCTAAACCCTTAAACCCGAAACCCTTAAACCCTAAACCCTAAACCTTATGCCCTCTACCCCAAAGCCAAAACACTTGGTCCGAGACACCCTAAACCCGACCTTTGAAACGACCTGTCCGTGTAGGTTTTCATATTAGGAGACCTTTGTGTAATCCCACCAAAAGGGAGCAGGTACACCCTCGACATTGTCATCTGATGTAAGGGTCTGAGCATTAAGCAGACATATAACAAGTTTATAGTCTTAGCGTTCACAATTTAAGGGTTTTCCTGGCAGATACTCAAGCAGCCTACGGGGGCTCAGTCACTCTCTTCTCTTCCAGTATTTTTGAATCCAGGAAGTTAGGTTTCCAAATTTATGGGTCTAGGGATACTTCTGTCATGACCCATAAAAACTGCGCATTAAGGATCCATTGGCTAACTAGCGGTCTGCATTCGTATTGAGTTGGGCCTGTTCATGGGAGAGTATTTTAGGTGGGCAGGAACGAGGGTGGGAGGGCGTTTCACACTGGAGTGAAATTGAACTTCCGAGTTTTCGTGGGAGGGCTAACCTCACTGCGCGCCGCGGGTGTAAGTTCGGTTGGGTTAGGCATTGGATCTACCCACCCTGCAGCTCCATGGACCGACAGTGCTTCCTCAGCACGTGCGTAGTTCCCCAAAGTAGGGTCCCTTCCTAGATCCCCAAAGAACCCTGATGATAAGGACCCTTAAAGGGACCATTTGTAAAAGGAAGCAGGCAACTCTGCACTGCAATTGAATCTCGAAAGAGCCAGGGCCGCGGAGGCATTACCAGATCTCTGGTTCGTCATGCCTTGCTTTTTGGACTTTCAGTTTAGGATCATATGCCGGACCCTGATCGGGCAGCGAGCTCCTTTCAAGTTGAGTAGCAATATTGACAGTAGCTCATAATCCGCACGTTTGATCATCGACAGGTGGTGACCGTGAACTGCTGACGCTCTGACTTTTGATGGTGCGAGCTGTTGAAGCCGAGAGTCCTCAGATGGCTTGGGCTTCGGTTGTATTCCAGAGCATACTGTCTCAATTGGGGTCCTTAGAGTTAGGTTTTTCAAACCAGCGACACATCACAAATGCTCGTTGGCTGTTGGATAGCACCCGCTCATGGAGAGACTCTCAGGCACAAGGATTTTCCAAGTCTGGTTCTGTCCCGCCTGATGGAGAAATTTCCCGGGACCACAGCTGAACAAGGCCTAGGCCCTGAGCCCACAAATTCCGCATCTCCGAAGCCATTCCTTCGCCACTTAGAGTTCACCGTCGCTCAGCCGAATCCGGCTTTCCAGGCTCGGGACCCTCCTTGAAGCCTTCATCCTAAAGGCGAGGGGTAAAAGGCTTACAGGGGTTTAGGGATTCATAGGCTTCATAGGGTTTAAATCTAGGTTTGTGATGCAGCAGTGCATTGGGTCAGAGCAAACTTTCTAAGTTGCAGGCTTCAGGGGCCTGAATACCTAGTAATTTAAAACACTCCTCCTCAGGGTTCCTCTCGTCGCAATTATGGCAAAGTCCCCGCAACAAAACCCTACTCTGCTTGTCAGTCTAGGGTTTAGGAGGTTTAGGAGGATTGGGGTTGAGCAAATTTTGGGGATTTGCGATTTAAGGTTGAGGGCTTCGGGCATCTTGGGTTTAGGGTATTTTACGGGTCTAACCCCTACCAAAACGCCCTTGGTCCAAAGCGCGGAGACCCCAAATTTCGTCTAAAGTTGGTCTCATATTCTCTCAGCCCTCAGAAGCTAGAAGTTTGAAACCTGTCGCAAACCGCCTTCGTAGATCCTGGTTGATGGTTTAGGGTTTAGGGTGATTCCCATGAGGCTGTCGGAGCCAAGCTGGATTCGTCAGGGGTTGTCTTTTGTGGCGATGGGAGCCTGATTTTAGGATGCATAGATACTGTTTTCGAGTGTTCTTTACAAGGACAACCTCGGAGTCGCGATCTCCGTCGCTTCTTGCCTAACAGGCAGTGTTAGAAGGAAGGATGTTTTTCCGCCAAGGCTGGTTTGGGGCCAGTCGAGGCCTAGTGGGTAATATAGAACCTATCAGGCTGAATAGTTGCTGTTGTTTCTTAGGGTTCCGTATTATAAGTTATAAGTATAATATGGTGGTATATATATATACACACACCACAAAGCCCTGTCTCAACAGTTAAGTTCAGGTCCTAATAGGACTTTCGGGTTGGTGATTCCTCTAGGGTTCGAGTCTGTGAGGATATGAGGGTTTAGGGTTTAAAGGGTTTAGGGTTTAGGGTTGGGTTCCAGCGACATATCGAAAAAGGCCTACGAACCCCCTACTTTCTACAGGAAAAGTGTCTTGGGACGTGTGACAAACTGTCGGCCCTGCGCAGCAGTAGTGTAAGTAACAGACGGCCAAGCAGCAATTGTGTCGATGATACCAATGGCGATTATGGTGAAACCTGCTGCAGCAGCAGAACAGCAATGGCAAGACTGAGCCTACACCTTAAAGCGCTAAGATGTGGGGTTCAGGTTAGGGTTTAGGTTTCAGGGCCGATTGTAGCTGTGGGAGCCTAGATACCAGCAGATTCCTTGCATCAGCTGCTAAGCAGCTACACGGGAAAAGCCGGAGAATGTCAATCATTGTGGGGTGTGTTAAATGAGAATCACAGATCCAGAAGTCGTGATTCTCATAACTGGGAGTAGTCTTTGCTCGGTTTGCTGCTGTTTTTCATCACAACTCCGATATTCAATAACTCCATAAACACCGTGAGCCAACCCTCAGCCCGAAGCCGCAAAACCCCAAACCCTTAGCCTTCAATCGGATACATGTATAAGGTATATCTAAGTCTATGTATACACGTACAGTTTCTGTTGCCATAAGCCCTAACCCCACCCGCCTTACCCCCTCGTCCTAAAGCCTAAACTCTGAGCCTTGAGCCGGATTCTTGTTGGCCCCTCTTTTGCTCCTTCGGCTTTTCCAACCACCACGGTGGGTTTCAGGCATTCCAGGGAGGCCCTTGGCCCTGGTGCCCTCGAAGGCCTCCGAAGCCCTACGGATGGCTATCAGAAGCCTTAAAGGAGCCCGTAAACTAACCCTAGTAAAGGAGCCCTTAAGACCTTTAAAGTCTAAAGACTTTCTCTCATCAGGTATTAGGGTTGTTTTAGTAGTTTGGGTCTATAGGGTGTAGGGTTGAAGCGCGGAATTAAGGGGTTCAGGGGTTGAGTAGGGTTGCAGGTTGCGGGTTTAGGCTTTAGGGGTTTAGGGGTTTAGGGGTTTAAGGTTTAGGGGTTTAGGGGTTTATTTAGGGTTTAGGTCCTTAGTTGGGGTTGTAAGACCCCCTTGTGAACTCGAAGTTTGAGCGTCTTGTTTGGGGGCTTAGCGCTCAGGGCAATTATAGGGTAGGGGTGTAGATTCGGTCGTGGGCCTGTGGCTCTAAGTTGAGGGTTTTGCTCTTAGGTTGGATGTTTGGGCATGCCTTGTTGAGGTCCCAATAGATAGATACTATCATAGTACTCGTATGCTGATATCCGTTTTGTTGGGTGTCTCCATATACCAGCAGATGAACCGAAAACAGGAGACTGGGCCAGATGTGTTGGGAGATAATGTTCAAAGCTCCGCTTACAATCCCTATGTTAAGGCTCGCGGCTTGATAGAGGTTCGATCGGCTTGGACGGTTTTGGGGCTTCCAGGCATTCAGACATACAGGCTGATAGAACTTCAAGGGAATGGGGTTCAAGGCTTCAGGGTTTAAGAGTTTAGGGCTCATGCTTGATGTGCGTATGATGCAGGCGTAGAATCCCGAGGCGGTGTCGGGTTCAGGCTAGCTTCCTCCGTAAGATTGCACAGGAGGCCAAATGGTCAAAGCAACCCCTACGCTCTTTTTGCGCTCCCTCTCTGTCGATTGCAGGGGTTCAAATTCTCTAAATCAGCGCCTTTACTGAATTAGGGGTCCTTCATGTCCATGTTGTTGAATCGATGAGAGAGCGTGATTACCTAGCATGATGATGTGAGTTTCGAAACACAAATCGAGAGCTCGGTTTGCTTCTAAATCGAGGGGCGCGTACTCACCGCGATGACATAGCTGTTCCAAGTTATGAGCATGCTCATGTCTGCAAGTCGATTGAAGTCTGCCTGGGCGATTCTTCGCCTGCTTGCGCGGCTCGCGGCTCGAGTTCAGGTCCTTCCTTTTGTTGACCCCTTCTTCCAGTGCACAGACGCAGAGAACATGGCCTTTCCAGCAGCGCTGGGCCTTCGCCTCAGCTGTCGGCATCGGAAAACCTAGAGGCCTCAGTCCCTGCCCGATCGAAGGGTTTGCTGACCTTGGCCCTTGGCCTCGCGCCACCAGCAGGTGCGGAAATAATCTCACCCTTGGCTGCATCCTCGGATTTAAGCTGCTTCTCCGGGCAAGATGTGTCAGCAAGGAATCGACGCTGTGGAAGCTGGAAACCAGCAAGCCGACAAGTTAGGAGGCACCGCCGGAGGCGAGAGAGGAGAGGAATTGAAGTCGAGACTCACTTTGGTCTGAGACGCTCCAAAAAGCAGGTGTTTGCCGACCGACGTCGCACAGCGGTGCCGTCACGGTGACGTACACCATAATGATGAGGGACAGTCCTTGAAGTGCTCATGACTGGTATTGCATTACTCTTCTTATTATGAGCTGAAAAGACTTTATTTGTTTAAGCTGGGATCCTTTTTTAGTAGATGGTATTGTTGTTTCGTGTCGTCATCATCATCACCGCCACCGCCGCCACCTCCACCACCACCGTCCCAACCAGCACCGCCACCGTCCCCACCCGTCACCGCCACCGCCACCGCTGGTGCCTGACTGAAGCAACACTAAACCGCCTAAACCCAGAAAGCCCCAAAGCTTCTTAGCCCCTGCAAGACTCTGAGTCGTGTGCGGGGCCCCCAGGACGATTGCGGAGAACCTTTTGGCAAAGCTCTCACGGTGCGGGCCTTGGATCGAACCGGCGGAGTTAAACGCCCGCTGACACCGCAACACTTGAGTCCTCAACCCTAAACCGCGAGGCATGAACGCTACTGACCACAAAGAAAGTGACGTCCGTCAGGACAGCACAAAGGCGCCAAGCGAGCCATCGACGCCGGAGAGCAAGCGTCCCGGAGCTCCGGGGCTTTTGATGGCGGTTTGAGTGAATGGCACTAATCCCTTTAAAATCCTTGTATATGTATACAACTATGTAACCCAAAACCCTATTCTAGTTCTTCAGGCCCCTAGATATTCTTTGATGGGTAGCTTGAGCCCTAGATATTCTTTGATGGGGAGCTTGAGTTCGAGTGCCAAGAGGTACAAGCCTTTCCAAAGATGAGCCCTGGCAGCTCATATCACTCGAAGCGTCTTTCAGAGTTGTGCGCTTAAGTCCTAAACCGCAGACCCCAACGGAGGTTCTGCACAGCTGCATGAGACCCCCACGGCCATCTGCTCCAACGTACATCAATCACGGTGTGGCCAGAAGGGCAAATTTCTTTCCTTCTAGCATTCGCCACGAAATCCTGCCTGTTGTAGCTTCTTGCTGAGAATGCCCAGGGCAGCCATAGTTGGATTCAACACCTGGGTTCGGAGAAGTCTACCGTCAAGGTCCCTGTAGGGCAAAGCAAAAGGCTGCAGTCGGGTATGAAGCTTAGAGCACCTCATTCCAGCCACGAGCTTCCTGCACTAGTTGTTCCTGTGAAAGAGGACTGGTAACATGCCCTGCTCCAGGGATCGTGGGACTTCGTAACCTGGGTTATACAGAATGTAACTCTACTTGCAATTGCTTGTAATTAGTCTAGGAGAATTACCAACACGTCTCCCAAGCTTCCATGAGCTGACGGTTGATCCGACGGAAGTCCAGGATGTCAGTGTCACAAGCGACGGCGCCACCATTCTTGAAAAGATGGACGTGAACCATCAGGCGGAATGCCCACAACCCGAAGATGTTCTAGAGTTTTCGGACTTCCCTAAACCCTAAACCCTTTGCCTTCACGGTCACTGCTGTGCTGCTGAATTCCAAGGGACGAATCGTGAGCGAATTGAGGCCTTCAGCCGAAGCCTCGGCCCGAGACCCTGGCCCTATGTGAACCCTGTGATATTTTGTTATATTGTATTATCTTATACTATATCATATATTCTATATAAAAACTGTATTATAGTATATTTCTTGTTTTATCTTATATGATATGATATTGCTTCATCCTATCTCCTATCCCAGAAGCCCGAAGCGGCACCGAAAGAGGGTTACCCGTAAGATCATGAAAGCCCCGCGGGCAGATAGCGAAGCTTCTCGTCGAGCTCTCGGCGTCCCAGGCTGGCCGTCCCAAACTCTCCTTCTCACTGCGTTTTGTTTTATGGAGGGGGGAGGAGGAGGGAGGGATGCTCGGCCGTCTGGAAGCCTTGAGACAGGGATTCGTGGGATCAAGGCTTCACGGAAGGATCCAGGTTAGCAGCGGTTGATTGAGGAGTTGATGGGTATGTAGTTCGGCTTGATGTCGATGACAGTGGATTTGGGCCTCGTAGAGGGTGCCGGAATAAGGGTCGCCCGCGCGCAGAGATCGCATCGATGTTGAGATCCTGGCATCCTCTAGTGAAGTCGAGTGTTTCGAGTCTTGCCTAGCTGGTTGAAAGTTCTCCGTGTTAATAGTCGCAAGGGAGCCTGAATCGAAGTCTTGAGCCCAAGCCTGCATGCCCCAGCCGTGCAGCCTCAAAGCGTCGGAGCTTCTTAACCGACGCTTAGCTCGCACAGCCAGGGATGTCGGACCCCTCCGCGACCCTGTTGCCGAGAAAGCCAGCAGGGCCGCGACCGGGGCCACCAGCACCTCGACGATTTGGTTCGACGGCGAAGCCGTCAACTGCAAGCCAGGGGAACTCCGTACCAGCATTAGTGCCAGAGAAGAAGCCGCGCCAGGTCACTTTCTCAAAGTGTGAGCGCGAGATCCAGGAATACGTGCCAGAACCGTTTGAAGAGCCGCATGAGGAGTCCGAGGAGTCGGGCGGTTTGGCTGCGCTCGTGCAGCGCCGCAGGCGACTTCTGGAAGAAGCAAGCAAACAGCCTGACCAGGAAGATGCGGCAGTGTATTACATCGCCAAAGATGCTGGGATCTGCAAGCACGTGTTGTGTTCTGTTATCCACGATCCAAGCCTCCTTTCCTGCAAACCTTGGCGTTAATGTCAGTATAAGGATAGGCACAGCACGATTCGACTCGACGGCTTGCCTTAGATCGGCTGTCTGGGCAGCGCTACGGAGGCCCTGCTTGACTAGGCCGTCCAGGCTTTAGCTGGCAGGGTGAAGGTCGATAGAACTTCAGCTTTGGCTTTACGAAGTTCGGGACCCCATGCGCAGTCCTGTCGCAAACTTGCCCCATGTTGAGCGCAGGAGTCGGGGTGTTTCCCTGATGCTGAGCCCACGTGGCATGCTGAAGACTGTTGAGTCCAGGCTGACCTGGTGTTTCCGTCCGCTTCGGACCGCTTCCAGTAGTTAGGCTGTTGAATTGTTACTTGTGATGACGTCTGGTTCAGGCGCCATGAACCCTCATCGGTGTGCTTATCACATCTTTTCGCGCATCTTGTGTTGCACTGTAGGTGCATACCCACGCTGTCTTTGATTTGATGTGCTTACAGAGGGATGGCTGCAGCTTTCCAAGTCTTTTCAGGCGTTCCGTTCTCGTTTCACCCTTCAGCAGCTTGATCTCTAGCTCCACAGGTTCCGTGCTACGTACGAACGGTCAGGAAGCTGTGAATCATCCAACCCGCAAGTATTTAATGTTCAGCCCGAGAGTTCCTACTCTCGGCATCTTTTCTTTGGGTAGGAGAAGCCTGAAACCAATCCCAAGCCTGTAGATAGTTGCCTGCAGTTGATTCTGCGTCTCCGGGCAGCGAACCGGGGAGAGTGGAGGTTGTTTCCTCCTCGAGCCGGTGCTCATGTTTTCAAACAACCGACATCAAGAAGCACTCGTGGCAGCTTGGGGTTCCGAAGGTTCCCGAATCGGTTGAAGGGGCCACTTGGGCGCAGAGCCAAACTGGTGTGCTGCGCGAGGACGAAAAGGTGCACTTGGCTTGACAGTTTGTGCTCACCAACTCCAAATGTCCCGCAGCGTCTTCTCACCCTGCCAGAGACAGGATCACGAGATTGGCGATGGCACCACGGGGGTGGTGGTCATGGCTGGTGCGCTCCTGGAGAAGGCTCTGGACTCTATTGGTCTCAACTAAAAAATCAGTGGGTGATGTTGAGGGTCAGCACCCTTCACAGCAAAGGGATGCTGGCTCTCCACGTTGAGCGAACTAGCCTTGCGGTACCCCTGATAGTACCCGTGATACTACCTTGCTAGTACCCTTATAGTACCCTTGTGGTACCCCTACTTGATTGATTATCTTGTAGTAACTCTTATGAGAAGCCTTAAAGAAACCCTGATGGTAGCCCTACAAGAAACCCTTATTATGGGCCCGAATGATCTGGCTCGAAGAGCATGAAGAAGAGCGCGAATTATGCGCACTGCACGGCACTGTAAAGCTTTCTATGGCGGATATTTACTTATTGCAACTGTTACGATGAGGGTGCCATAATGAGGGTTTCAATAGAAGGGTACGACAAGAGTTTCTAGGAGAGTTACAATCATGGTACCATAAGGATTTGTATAGGGGCCACTACAAGGGTTCGAATTAAATACGGGTACCAGAAGGATCAGAAGGGTTTCCGCAAGGGTTTCCACAAGGGTTGCTACAACGGTAGTCCCTTCTGTTATGATAAGGGCAAAATTGAGGTATAGGGTGCTACAAGAGTTGCTAAACGCCTTGACTCTGGACCCGAATCCTCAGGCCGTAAAGCACTCAAGCTGGGTGGAACTGAGCCCGGCCCGTGTTGGCAGTTCTGGCGGTACATACTGGGAGCAGGGGGGGGGGTTCAATAAAAAAGTACGTAAACTCTAAACCCCCGACCCAGGCCTTACACGCCGCTGGCGACCCACTCGTGGCTTCACGGCCTTCTCAATGCTTCCGATGACCACGAGGCTCCCTGGCAGCATTGGGCCTTGGCTCTTGGTCGTATTGAAGACGGGGGAGCCCCCGAGGAGCCCTCCAAGTTCCCTTTGATTCGGGTTCCGTGGAGGGTTTATTTCATGCGGGTGTTATATAGGGTTGCGTGGACGGGGGGGCGGTTATGGAGCTCAACTGTTCCTGAAAGTCTTGGGTTCTGATTCAGTACTCCTATCATCGTAGTTTACAGAGTGCTGCTTCCTTGGGCTCGCTGGCGTCTTGTAGATGCTGACCTTGAGAATCTCCAGTTGGTTCGCAAGCCAGAAGCCGGGAAAGTCGAAACATCATGTAGTGCCTCAAGCTCTGCCCCTGAACCCTCATGCCTATGCTTGGCACCTTGCATCCTGCGCCTTGGGCAGGGAGACTCTGCAGATGCTTGATCCTCGGGCCGAGGCGAGTGAGGGTAGTGGGGTTGGGGTCCAAGGTTCAGGGCGTCAAAAATCAGTCAGCACCTGTAGCGATTACCACCAAAGCTTCTCCAAAAAACTGAGCCCCTCAAAGATGTGGCTTTTGCAGGTTCACATCCTCAGCAAAGAGCTTCGTCCACAGGTCGTATCTGTCGTATCTCGCATAGATTCAAGCAGTCGTAAAGCCAACCGACGTCTATCCTCTGCCCCATGCCCGAAAAATCGCAAGCTCAGAGCAGCAATGCCTCAACACATCGCCCTGTGCCGAAGTCTCCGCTGCGAGTTCAAGGGAGCTCCACAAGGATGTGGCGGAAGCCTTAGGAGCCTCCAGCCGGAAGCTTTCACCCTAAACCCTAAAGTGTCACACGTGTTGATCATAGGCAATGGCACACCCCCGGTTTCCAACTCGTATGGCCGAGCCGCGCGAGGCCTTTCTGAGCCAACGCAAAATCCTGAAGGTCCTGGCAGAAGTGCCGAGTGCTCAGATCACCCCCCGATGTCTTAAGCAGAAGGCTTGCTTGAAAGCTATCTCAGCGCTCTACGGGGCTCGGGGACCCTAATTTTTTGCTGACACGGATCGGCGGGGGCCTCGAGAAGTCGGACAATTTCACAAGGACGCTCCTTTCTCTCAAAGCCATCAGGAGTAGGACTGACAGCTGGGAGGCCAGAAGTTCACCCCAGTTAGACATAGGCTACAGTAACTCCCCAGCCCATGCCCTCGTACCTCAACCGTTTTATCCCTGTACCTCACCCTACATTTCCCAATAATCCTTGTAAAAATCCTTAATTCCTGACCTCCCCGCCTCGACCGATTTCCCTATATAATCCTCCTAAAAATCCTCCCTAAGATCCCCAGCCCTAAAATCCAAAAGAGACTATCATAATGTATCTTTACAAATATTATTGTAAAGATAAATCCTAAGAGCCCCTTACCCCTAAGCCTTCTTCACTATATAGGTGTCTTCATCCTTCACGATTTCATAATATTCTAAGGTGCTCGGTTTGGGTTCTTTAATTTCTCGGTTGTTTAGTTTGCTTGAATATGTCTTGCGTTTGTTTAAATAGGTTTTGTCTTTAATCTCGGGCGGTTTGTTTGAAAGAGAATTCGGATTATATTTGTTGTTGAGTGTGTTTACTAATTTAGTGTCTAAGTTTTTTATGGTGTTGGTCAGGTCTCTTAGTGCTGTTTCTAAACCTTCGGACATATATAATAAACCATATATTTTTAAAAACTTTTGTTTTAAAAGTTTTCCTTATCACTCGCTGCGCAGTTGCAGTTCTTACAGTATGCTATGCAATTTTCGATTGTGTGGCAGATGTCATTATTTTTTCGTTGTGCCGTCAAGTTCGTTTGTATGTTTCCCTTTATCATTTTTAAATTAAACTTTATCCCGCATTTTACACAATAATCATTTAACCTTTCCATAAGCCAGTCTGCTGTTATAAAATGCTTGTGATCTACCTTTCTTTTTTCCTGTGTGGTCCTGATCTTTGTATCCCTTCACCTTTCGTTACATATAGTTATACACGTAATTTTTATTAAACATATCCTCTTTCACATCAGAACTATACTTATAGAAATACACTTTATTTAGATTAGTGCTTCTCGTGATCGCTGCTTATAACTATTCTTTGCTGACTAACCAATGGTTATAACTAAATATTATTATTATGTCGTTTATGTTGCTTCTTTGGGGACTATGACGAGTATGACGATATGCGACTATGGCGTGCTTCCTTATGATATCTGTGGGGACTTCTTGCGATTTCTTGTCGACTTCATTACACAAAACCACCATTTCGGGATTTATGATTTGAATAATATACCTAAATTTCACATTAAACTTATACTTCGTTGTTTTTAGATACTCTCTGTATATGATCACTTCCCCTACCTTATATTCTGCTATTCTGTTTTCCGTTTTTCTTATTTCTTTCGATATTTGCTTACAGGTGTCATATAAATAAGCTATTATTATTTTTATTCGTGTTTATAACTTTGGTATATTTAAAGTATCGTTCAATTAGTTCTTTGGGTTTTATACTGTAAATAAAAATTTCGGCATATGTATTGTTTAATTTCTCTTTATCTTCCTTGGTCTTTAATTTCTTGCATTCCTTTAGATAGATGCTATATTTACATATCTGATTTATGCACGAATTCATATAAATCTCGTGGTCCTGTGTGTTGGTTAGCTCATTCGCCGGCTTGAGTTGTTTACCATCGCTAGTTCCTATAATTATTAGTTCGGGATTCTTTTCTATAAATTCTCTTATTCTGTTTAATACTCCTAAAATAAATTTCGTCAAGTATCACCGCATTATATCCGCTATAATCTATTGGTTCTAACCTCTCTTCGCCTATGGATATGCCGAAAAACTTATTAATCGTGATCGCCTCTCTGCCGAATTTCTGAACCAATTTGTTAGTGGGACATATAAATAAGACCCTCATCCCTATCTCTCCCATTCGTTGGCATACATACGATTTGTCCGATCCCGTGTATTTTGCCCTGATCATCACCTATTTAGCTTGTATTATTTTCCCTATGATATCCGACATATTATATTCATCCTCTATTTTTAAATCTATGATTTCGGACGTTGTTATTTCTTTCGCTTCTATAGGCTGTTGGTTATATAAGACGGTCGGTAATATTACTCCGTCTTCTTTGTTTATTCTCTAGTTTCTTATTCTTTCTTTGTCTGCTTTCAGTATTTGCCTTGCTTGTTTTTCGTCTTCTTGGCTTATGGTGAAAGCATCAGTTTTTACACTATAGACCTTTACCCCTTTCTGTATCAGCTTGTGGCAGTCTTGATATATTTTGAAGTTATGACTTTGTAATAAGAGCTCTTTTATATAAATAAATTCGTTTTTCAGCTTGGTTTTGTCCGATATGTTCGTTATGTAATAACTCTCCTCTTCTTCTTCTTCGGTATCATCCGATAATTCGTATTCCGTTAGCTTGTATATTTTTGCGCCGTGCTGAGCTTGAAAATCACAAGCTTCGCCGAGTTGTTTGAAAATAATGCTTTTCTGATTTTTGCTATAAATCCGCTCTAATAATCCTATATTAATATTAGCTATAAGCTTCCTGTCGAGGTGGTCGTCACTACTGATATATTTGTCCCATATTTCCCCTATTAGCTCCTTATAATTCACTCTATGAGTGCCAGAGGGCACTTTATAATTCAAAATATTTATGCCTGTCATATTAAGTTGCTTAAGATTCTTTCCATAAACAAGGATATACTTCTTGTTAAACATAATTTTCGTATTTCTCCTTGCTATTATATAATATAGTGTGTAATCTGATATTTCCCTATAATCTGCTTCCCTATAAATTTTTTATTTGTCGAATTGGTTAAAGACCGGCACTTCGGCAATATCTATTAAGCTCTCAGTAAATGCCTTGGATATGCCGGCTTCCACTATGTTTTTGGAATGTCCTCATCCCTATAAAACACTCCTGTCGCCACTATGGTTTTCGTTTCTTCGTATATTTCAAAATCCTCCCTATTGTAATAGGACTTGTGTAATGGATTAAACAAATCCTTATTAAAAATAAATATCGCCTTGTTCATATTGTTGTATGTCTCTTCGTCATCTATCGTTATCTTTCCGTCTGCCGTGTCTCTTATTGAGTTTCGCGATTTTATTATAAATCTGGTCCTGTTAAAACGAGCTTTTATTTGCGACACTATCCCAGCCTGTAATGTGATCGATGGCTCGTATCCTGCCCTGACCATCTCGAAGAAAATTTCGGTTAAGTTGTTTCTTTCGGGGATCATATACTTAATTATTATCTCTGTCTTCTTCGGATTTAGAGGCTCGACATATTTCAATATATCGTCTAACGACCCGAATATCTTATACTCGGGGGGTTCTTCTTTTCGTCGAGGTAGTAATCTGTAGTCGCTTTTACCAACTCTTTTTTCTTCTCTCGTCCTCCTGTTTGCTCCAAGTTTCTTATATCTTCATTGAAAGTGTAAATATGGCTGTTCTTCACCAATGCGAAAAAGGTTTTTATATTATATTTTGATGTTTCTGGGTCGTGCCTGTAGATGAGATTTAAAAACTGATCGTATATTCTGGCTGGTATATTGAACTCCCTGAAGACCTTGTCCATATCCGATATACAAGCGCCTTTGTTGTAAAAATCCTCCCTTCCCGTGATTTCCATAATCCTATTTACTGTTAATCTGTCCCTTCTGCGATCACACATAAGAGTATCACTATAAAAATCCACCAGTGCGTTTTTCTTGCACTGATTGTTCGTATTTTTCCAAAGCGCCTTTTAAATATCCCATTCTGGGGTTGATTTCGGTTAGTACATACCTATAATAGATGGATATATTTTCAACAGCATCCGTTGAATCCTCTTTCGTTATATCAATCTTCTCTCCGTTTTTCTTGACCTTCTCCACGCCTTGAATTTTAATAGCATCGAAGACATTGTCGTAGTATGCCGATAAATCGTTTATGAGTTGTCCGAAATCGCTGGCAGTTTTTAGGATTTTTATGATTTCTGTAAAATCTGGGTTTTCGTTTTCGGCGTTT